AAACATATAAGTAAAAATGTGACTCTAAATAAACCAGACAAGCGATCTGGTAGAGTAATTCCTCATAACACTGTGATTGATAACTGTAAGTTTAAGGGAACATAAAAAACGTTTCTTGATAAGAAGCATTGAGAAAAATAAACAAACAAGCAAGCAAACGAACGATCAGCAAACACGTCTTCGTGAATTTAGCCTTAATTAAAACTGAGCTATTCAAAAATTCAGCTAGAAAGTTCACTGATCCAATTGTTGTCAATTGGTGTCGAGCTATCTTTTATTAGCTTAAGATAAATATAACTAAACTAAAAATTATTATTAGTCAATCAACTACCACTCCAAACTCTAAGCTTACAACTGCAAGCTTATGATTAAGAAATCAATTGTAAAAAATTAAAAGGCAGAAATAACTAGACAGCAACTGTTTCAAATCACCATATGATACACGATAACCACTAAATAGCGTTATACTCACAATAAACACAAATTACAGGATTTCTCAATTCTGTATCCTTTTACAAAAAGAGGCAATTCAAAAACGAGGCAATTCAGTTTGCCAAGCTTTATATAGAGTTTCTAGACTCCTTCTCAAGATGCTTACGGAACTTTGAACATGCCATTTATCTTATCTTGTTTGAATGGCAGAGAAGAACGGAAGGAGAAAATGTAATAATTTTTGAGTTTGTCAAAGTATTAGCTATCGATTAAGGATAAAAGCCTCATGAATGTCGAAATGCATACATGCCCGGTTAATGAAATCTATTACACGATAAGCAAGTGCTGTGTGAGACACACATATTAATTGGCCAACAGTAGCGTAGACAGCTTGCAAATTTGGTCCTGAGATGCTAATTTTTTGTGTTCACTCACAGTAAAAACAATAGGCTTCTAAAAAAATAAATAATGATGATGTAAAATTTACATAGCAGAAGCAACTTGCGGGATGGCTACGCCACTGGTGGTAAGAGTTTTTAGTATCATACGTAGCTATAGGCTATCTGGAAGGCTGCATATTCAGTAGGGCCCGATTAGTTTCTTTAGAAAGCCAAATCACATTTAATAGGAGTCTGTCTGGCAAAACGGAATAAACACCCCCACCCCAAAAATTGACGTTCTAGTTGCAGCCGTAAGATTATTGATACTAAGGACGTCGATTTTGAACAAGCACTGTGTGGGAAAAACGTGACTAAGCAAATTGTTATCCTATTATTAGAGTTTTGCATGATTAAAAGTGACACCTGTGTCACATTATACGCAGTAGCATAGTCAACCTGCACCTTTCCACTCACGCGCGTGAAAAATTATCATTATTCATTTCTTATGAAATCTACTGTTGCACAGTAACTGAACACAAAAATGAAATTAAATTTGAAATAGGCTATGTGTGTTCACTTATTAAATACAAACCATGAACACATAAGTTTTTAGCTACGTAAAACCGAAAACTGTCTTATAGCGATGGTTGTTTTGATACTGCGCATAGACAGCAGAGTTGATCGATAGCAAAGCCTAAGTAAAACTTAAATCAAACAAAAGAAAGAATTTCTCCTTTATCAATTAAATATAAGGCTAAGAATTTACTTGACTAGTCCTGTGAATAAAATATTTACTATCATTTTCCATCATTTTTTCGTGCTATTTCATTTCAGAGCTGAGAAAGACATGATAAGGAATGCAATATACTGGAAATATAAGATAAAACATCAAAAGATGGCTTGTAGAAGAAACATGAAAACTGAACTTGATAAATTAACTTTAAATTTTAAGTAGTAATATATTTTTTTCATAAGCTGGACCTGTTGTATCAAAGTCATTTAAGTCAAAATATAAGTCTGTTTTACTTTTCTTTATAGATATTTTTCAGTGCACAAATCCAAATATTATAACTAACACATCTTATTTTGAAAAAAATTTAAAAATTTTTGGCTTTAATTAAGAAAATTGCTTCAAAAAAAAGAAACATACATAGGAAAAGCAGTTCTTATATTAAGAAAAAAGATCTTAATGTTTCTTAAGAAAAGTTTTCTTATAATTAGTCAATTTTTTGCTATGTAACAAAGTGATTATATAAGGTCGCTATACGATGTAATGTATAAGATATTTTTTAAACATACAAACGTAATTTTTAATGTTAATAATTGTTGATAAAATTTTTCTGGAGAGAATAAGCAACTACAAAGCAGCAATTGCTGATATACTAAGATAGAAACACATAATATTCAGTAATTTAAAACAATGTTTAGAAAAAAAAATAGAAATGAAAATAAAAGAAATCGAAAGAACTTTAATGTTCTGCCATTTAGGTACAGGTGAACATGCCTCGTAGAGGAATAACAAGCACAAGAATTTCTTCAACATAAAATTACTGAGTTTGTACATATTATTTGTATTTTATTTTAGTAAGTTGACAAACAGAAATTGTGTCATTTGAAAATTACTTCTCAAATTACACAATTTCATAGTTTTAAATACTTAGTTTGACTAACGAAAATTTTTTTGATTTTTATTTGTCTTTTAAATACCTTTTATGACCTATTCTTGTTTTGGAAATTTTTGGCTTGATCATCTTAAATTCATATAGTCATCATTCACCGAAATCAAAAGTGATTTGGCTCATCAAAACGAAAATACACAAAAGAGAAAGAGAAGTAAGGATAAGTTTTGTAAACATGCTTCCAGTTCAGTAAACAGCATAATATGAAAGGTTTTTACGGCAAGCTTTAAGGATAACATTACACTTGCACTGTGCATTTACAATAGTCGACGGTTTTTTTTTTGAAAATTGATATGTTTCGACATCTCATGATGCCATCGTCAGTATGAATGAATAAATATATAAATGGTGCAGAGCTTATAAAAGTGATATGATACAGGAACAGAAGGATAAATATATAAATATAGGTAAATTATTACAATAATCAAGAAATGAAATAAATTAATAGGGAGCGTTTTACAAACTAAATATTGTGTCAAATCTAAAAACTTGAACATTGAGGTCAGGCCCGAGTTAGTTTTGTTAATGTGCAGTGTTTCCTGGATTTTAAGTGAGAATGAGGTGTCTGCGGTTCAGGGGCGGATCCAGCAATTTTCGTGACTGATGCACCACTGCGAGCGCCAAAGGCGCTAGCTCTGTAGGGGGTCTGGGAGGATGCCCACCGGAAAATATGGTATTTTAGACAATCTGAAATGCGATTTACTGCTTTACTTAGTTTGTAAACTTTTCGCAAATTTCAATGATATAAAATCTAAAATTTTTTGAAATTTGAATGTAAGCATGGTAATGCCAGTGCTATACTTTCCCACCAAATTCATGAGACCAGCTTTCAAGAGGAGTATAAGTACGTACCTAACAGCTAATACTATGTGCCCTCCTAGCTTTAATCAAAGTGCAATGGTGAGGACTCCTATACATAAAGATCAGGATGCACATATGCACATATGCAAAAATAAAATATGGTGATGTAATATACAATGTAATATGTAAAAGTATTACAATATAGAACTGTTGCTTTAAAATCTTTATGTATAGTGGATAATTTTGAGATCATAATAATAATGTAAAGACCATACAGTAACATCATATCTATGTAAATGAAATGCTTTGCTGTGTACCCACCCTTTTGTGATCATAATGTTTTAGGGTAAATTTTATTTAGAAATTTGGCACACTGTGCATGATTGAGCACACACTCAAAAAAACATCATCTTGTAAACTCAAGATTCCAGTTATAACAGCAACAGAGAAGATTCAAAGCAATATTTCAACTTCATATGAAAGTCATTATCAAGCTAGGTGTGGAAGAAATAATAAGGAATTGTTGTGGCTGAAATAATATGTAATTACAGTTTGCTTTGCTAAATTTCAGGGAATTGACAATATTAGGCATGCAATATGAAAATGAAAAACTCTAATGAATAACATGGTTGGTCCAGCATAGCTCTTACATTCAACACATTGCATAGCTCAGAAAGTTAGTATTTATAAACAACCAAAAAATGTATGAAAAATGTGCCCTCTCTGTCACATTGAGCACATATTACAACATATTACATGGAATATTTATATATCTATGAAATATCCTGAAGTTATGCAATATAAATTATTAGCTCTTATATTTTTATGTATATTAAGTAACTTTGAAATCACAATATCCATGTGAACACAATTAGAGTGGAGATTTCTCCAGGAAGTATGTAGAGACTTCTACCAGTGACTTTAATCCGAAGAAATCTTCACTACAAATATGCAGGATTACCCAAATTCAAACATATAGTTGTGAATAAAATGTTTTGTGATCTTATGTTATATGACACTTTATAAACTTGGCACAGCAACATGCATAATTATGTGCACACTAGTTATGGCATAAATCCAAAGCATTGCATTATACTACTGGCTAAATTTCATTGAGCCAACAATATTGGACATGGAGTTTGAAAATTGACATTGTAAAATAGAATACAGTAAATTTCGATTTAATAGGTTAATGCAGGTCAGGATGCTTTGAAATTTAAATAAATTCAACAGGGAATAAACACCCCATGTGCCCCTTCCCATCATATTCCTAACAATATAAAGAGTAAGCCATAAGCATTACATAAATACAAGTATAGACCTATAGCTATGCATTACAATGACAAGCATAGTAAGCAGTAAGCACTTCAAGCTACTTAGTTTAAAGGCCGCCAATTATCTCCCATATGCTTAGGGATAAGCAACTCTGCGTTAAGATCTCTTGCCAGCTTTCCTTTTCGAAACAGGTCTGTTTTAGTCGGAAATGGCAGCAGAGACTTTTGCTTCATAATCCTTTCTTACAGAAGAAATCTCGCTGGTTTTACTGTCTTGAATCAATGAGCCAAGATCGTATATATGCCTACTTTCAGCCATGATGACTTCAAGATATAAATAAGCCAAATGCCATAGTCATGTAATTATAATTTTGAAGGTTTGAAGATTTATAACGCTGGCTCAAGTGCACCAGTCAGAATGAAATTGTGGTGTTCGTGGGCTTAAGTGCAACAGTCAGCAGCGATTTCCCACCGTGACGTAGCCTAAAAAACAATGAAATTCGTGACGTTTAGGTGGTTCACTCGGCCAAAGAGACTAGGGACTGTTGCACCAACTGGTGCACTTTTTCCCCACCGTGACGTAGTGATTCACTATCTAGCCACCGTGACGTAGTAATACAAATTCAGCTCAGTGTAGCTGGATGATGAAACAAATTTTCGCTAAAAATTTCGACACATAAAAACGCCATATTTAGCGACGCATTTTTTAATAATGCGGCTGTTATCAAAATGATACTCACTTGTAAACAATCTACGAAGGCTTTTAACAATATTTCTCAATCATTAATGTACATCTGTTGTCAATATATTGTCAGTGTTAAGGTATTTAAAGCATTTAGAAACTATAAACGTTCCAATCTGATATATTTCTTGCATTTTGCTCGTATTGATTGTAAGTTATAATGTTGTGAAACATTAACTATTCAATTTTATGACTGATGCACTTGCATCAGTTGCACCAGCCTGGATCCGCCCCTGCTGCGGCTTCGATGATTTTGAAGCATTAGGGTGAATATTTGGTTTTACAGAAATGAGATTTAAGAAATCGATAGATAGGAGAGTTTTTGTATGTTGTGGTATTTTCCCTGATTCTGGTGGATAAATGGAACGACGTTTCGCCAATGTATCGGGAATTACATCCCACTCAATTGAATTTATATACCACCATGGATTTCATTAAGTCTTTCAGTTCAGCAATGAATCATTAAGTAGTTTAAAGCAGATGGGCAAAGTTTAGTATCTATTAACGCAATACAGGTTTTGTTTCGAACGACTTCTGTTGTGAAAGACGTTTACAAAGTAATTTAAAAACTGTGCATCATGTACTTAATTTTCAGTTAAAATAATTCCCTGTGTGGAAGGACAACTCTTAATAAAAACTTTGAAGTACTCGTTTCTATTAATACGAAATTCAAAGAGGTTATTTGTTATGGGTTTAATTTAAATATAGCTTGGGAATTTCTAAAAAATGAGCTGTTAACTTATTACTTGTAAACACATGTACACTTACCTTATGCATGATATTTTCATAATTTTGTAGCAGCACGATTAAAAGCGTTTACTTTTTGCATGTATTTAGAACTTTCTGATAAAGTCCATGCATGAGTTTACAAAGAATCTTTTATTGAATGAGAGCTTGTTACAATCAAGTAAGTAACTATCTATAATTGCTTTATCAAACCAATGCAAAAAGATATACCTGGTGATAGGTAAATTTGATAAGGAATTTCGCCGAGTAGTTCTTCATAAGAAAAAATTAATGAGAATTGTTAAAAAATTTTTTTCGATATTTCTATCAGCATTGATCAAGAAAGCAAAATGCATTTAGGCGATTGAAAACAGATAACAAACATAGCTTGTGTTTCAAGAATCAAGGACAGTTTGAGCACGTAAAGGATTGTATCGAAAAGATTACAAAGCACATAGATTAATAAACTCCAACTCAATCAATGACAATTTTTGCCTCAAGACACAGTTTTGTTTAAGAACTGATGATGACAAGTAAAAAAAGATTTCGACGAATGTTCTCAAAGAATTCTTATTTACTGCCACCGGAATACCTGGATTTGAACTTTGAATGTTTGATGATCAGTTTCATGAAAATAATGTTTTAAGGAGATTTTCTTCAGAGCATTTTAACTATGATTTTGAGTTTCAAATAAGTGCATGTATGACAAGAATAGCAACAACATTATTTTTCAGATACTTACAGGACATAGTCATTGCAGACAAGATAATATAGCTGCACTGTACGCACAAACAGTTATTTTATTTTTTTCTATTTACTAGTTTTCTACTTACATGAATGATCACTCTCAAATAGGATGTATAACTATTTACAGTGTTCTTCGTTATTGCAAAAATAAACGAATGAGTATGGACAATAAGTGCACTTTTTCGTTTTTGACTCTTCTTCACCAACTTGCTTCATCTTATCTATTTTTCTTTCCATTGCTTCATTCATAACAGCATCATTCAGCAAGAGCCACTTTCGTTTGGCCAAGCAAGAATAAAATGCACAAATCAGCAAGACAAAAATTACAGCTTTTGAAGAACGTCTCATGCTTTCCACCAGCAAAAGATAATAAGTACACCAAAATTCTTCTCAGTCGACTAGCTTCAATGATGGAATTTATCTGGTACTTTAGGTCTATTTATACAAGCTGAAGAAATAAATTATTAAATATTTTAAAACAGATGGTTCATCAAATACTATCCACGCAGCGGTACCACATGAGGGCAATTTGGAAAGACGCTATATTTAAATAACGCTAATAGTCAAATAAACAGCTTTTATATGTCATACCTTATTCGAAAGCCATCATCAGAGAATACATATAATATATTAATCCTAACACGGTTTTTTTAATATGCACATGAAAAACATGTGACTTGGACGAGATTTGAATTCGCACCTTCGGGATACTAGTCCGCCGCTCTACCTGTTGAGCTACCAAGCCCACAGTCAAATCTGTTAAAACTGCGTATGGGCGAGAGAAATACGTCGTTTATACGTCGTTCGTACGTCTCTCGTTCATACGCAGTTTTAAGAGATTTGACTCGTCTCCAATCCCTGTGGGCGTGGTAGCTCAACAGGTAAACGCGAATATCCCGAAGGTGATTCCCTCTCGTCAAGTCTGATCATAAAAAACCGTGTTAGGATTTATATATTATATGTATTCTCTGATGATGACCATTGGCGTAGCTAGCGGTCATCATAAGAGATATACATTATTTCACGAACAATTTGTAATATTATGTTTTATTCGTTCAAATTTACGCTTTTATTAGGTGGTTCGTAATCGTAATACAGCAAAATCTCAAGATTTGTTATGTAACCTAGGAACCGCCTTTTCTCGCACATTGCATACTCGCGCGATTCTCCACGTATTCCGCCCATCTTCGGAGTGTGGAACAATGGTATATAAGAAGTTTTGAATTCTGGTTGGCTAAGGGACTTGACGCATGCTCAAATCTGCTGTTTTTATAGTCGAACTCCCGCTATTTTAAATTGGCGGAGGTTGTAATTATTCGACCTTTTAATACGAGTACAGCGATTAGTGATTATCAAATTACGTGTCATTGTCGGTATTAATTTTCCTTTGTGTTTACTCTCAAATTGCTATAATTCTATATAAGAAGTTTTGAATTCTGGTTGGCTAAGGGACTTGACGCATGCTCAAATCTGCTGTTTTTATAGTCGAACTCCCGCTATTTTAAATTGGCGGAGGTTGTAATTATTCGACCTTTTAATACATACAGCGATTAGTGATTATCAAATTACGTGTCATTGTCGGTATTAATTTTCCATTGTGTTTACTCTCAAATTGCTATTTTGTATTTGTGTATGACACAATGGCTTCAAGTGCGACTGCGATTTGCTCAACTGATGTTGATTTAGTAAATAGCTTATTAGCTAAACCGTTCAATTTTGAAAGTGACTTGGGTTTCAAAAGAATTCAGTTAAGCGCAACCGATTGTTTGAATATATACCGTTCCACCAATTGATAATCTATTTACGCCTTTGATTATGTTTTGAAAAAGTAAACAGCCACTTTATCAAAAGGTATTAGGAGAGAATGTTTCATTTACAGATGTTAAAGTCCCAAATTATTTCACACTTTTTCAAGACATTTTGTGTGATTACCTGCTTCAAATGAGCAAGATGTAAAATTCAACATCTTCCCAGAAAATTATCGACTCTGTTAAAAAACAGACAGAGTCTTTTAGAACTTTGAACATGACTCAAGTCGTCGCTTCTACATTATAATAGGTAGTGGTCGATAAACTTAATTTGAACTAATTTAGAAGTTAGAACTGGTTATTACATATATCATAAAAAATCTGTAAACGTAAAAATAAGTAAAGATGCACATACAATCATTGAGTAACTATACGAACGTGCATCATTAAGGCATTACAAATATAATGAAGTGAACTTGTTTACATCTCAATACTTTTTTCCAAAAACTATAAAATATAAAAACTTCTTTGTTGGATTATAATAAAAGTTTCTGATTTATTTGATGTTACTTAAGAAAATAAAAATTCTGAAGCCTTTGAACAATACATTAAAGAAAATGAGGAAACAGTCATGTTTCAAGTACTTCTATGCATTTTAGCATTGTGATGGTCGCACATCAAACAATAAATATGTGGAAATAAATATAAATTAGTTTGATGACCTTTAAAATGGTGTTTTATGACATATAACGCAAGGAGTATAAGCGTCCTTAGCATACTAATAAAAATATGCTTAGTTAATGCTACTCGAAATGTTTGTCTTTAACAGGTACTGTGCTGAACAAATAAAGTATTATTCGTTAGTATTTAAAAACATGTGCGTAAGATTGACGAATTTTATGGTATTTACATTAAACAATTAAATATACATGGTATACATGGTTAAGAGAGGAAAGTGTTTTTAATATATACATTAAAATGTTTAAGTTGTGTTGATGTCAATTAACTCCAAGTTTTCTTTCCTTTTTATATTCATCGCACAAATTTTTGAATTGGGAATTTAAACTTTGTAAGCTTTGACTTAAATCTCCTTTTATCATTTTTTTTCTCTCAAAGGTTAGAAGTGTTATGCTTTTTGGTAGCTCCCACATCTGTAGTTACAGCACAGCTATTTTGCAATCAAAATGACATTTTGTAATAATTATAAGAATGTAAGTAAATTTCATGAACAAAATTTAGGTCTTTGAAATAAGTCATGTGAATGACTGAATGTTAACTCTAAGCAGTGACGCTATTTAGGAAGTTTGGCTATTTTATTCCTAAATATATTTATTGTTACTGAATAATGATCTGCACAAGCTGTTGTTGGCTTTGTGTTGTTGAATCTGTCTTTTAATTTGAATAAAAAACGCTCTTGAAACGTGTTATTACTGTTCATTCATCATTATACTCTGCGTCTAATTCAAAGTACCTATTTTCCAGGTTTTTTAATACTTCGTATTTCTCACTTTTTCTTTTCT